CCACCAGGCACCCCTCCGTCCCCACACACCACCACCAGGCACTCCTCCGTCCCCCACACCACCACCACAGGCACCCTCCGTCCCCCCACACCACCACCAGGCACCCCTCCTCCCCCTCACCACCACCAGGCACTTAAACACCACCATAATCACTTCCCAGTACTATAATTATTTCCCCCACACCATCACGTGTACTTAGCTACGGCAGACAGTCAGTAGGTCCCAGGGCGACGTAGTCCAGCCATCAAGATGTCACGTAGTGAGCCAGCGAGACCACAGTACCACACCTGCTGCAAGAGCTTCATTCTCAAGTTTACTGAAGCTTCGAGGCATCTCATTCACTCACTCCTTAATCAAAATAAACTGAAGCATTTGAAACGTTCGTAAAATAGACTTTATTTACACCAGGTAATAAATATCACTCCTTCAGATTACTAACAAGACAATAATTATCTTAAGTTGTTTACCAAGACAATTATATACGCATTGTTTTACATAAATAAGTTCATAGCTTCATGAATCCAGATTTGAGCTTCGGTTATAAAGATTCGAATTCTTGGTGTTCGTGAGGACTTGAATATGAGGTGTTGGATCGTTGTGCTTGTTTGTGATGACCAATAACACACCATAGCGATCATATTTACCATAAATACTACTAACAATAACGTGTGTATATGATGTTCACTTATTAACCAAAATATTTATTTGTCTATCTGTCTATCTATCTATCTATCTATCTATTTAAGTATCCATGTATATGTCCATCTCCATCAATCTACCAACCAAAATTATCTACCTACCTATACATTCACAACCATTGACGTCCACATAGTTTTCTTCTAAAGGGGTACAGTATAGTCAAAATCGGGGGGTGAACATGGCTAAATAGAATATGAAGAATGTAATGAAATAAAGCTGGTGACCTTTTAGAACTTTAATTATGTACATTCACAAAAGCACTTCAAACTCAACAACAAATGGTGACTAGCACTAATATATTACTTCAGTATGTGCTGTTATGGATAGTCGAATCAGACTGTAAATTGGCCTTATAATTGGCATTTTAGTAGAATATTTGGTCTGATGTTGAAAAGTAAACCAGACAACCCTGGTTCATATGTTCTTTTCTAATAAGTTATTTCAGTGTCCCAGCCACTGATGTCATCCCACCACTATCAAGCGTGTGTGAAAATGTTAGAAAACATCGGAAAAATTAATGCTTTTCACATGCCGAAGCAATACATTCCTCCATACAAATGTTTGCAGACGATGTCAAGTTATTAGAAATTAAGAACCAAGCAGACTGTGAAGAGCTGCAGAAAGATATCTGTGAGCTTCAGGAATGGTCGAAGAAATGGCAAAGATTCATTGTCATTAAGTGTAGGGGCTGCACCTGGGATGTACCAACAGTAAAGGAGTATCATTTGAGACTGAATGTGAAAAGGACCTGGGTGTTTATGTTGGTAATGAACTGAAGTTCTCAGGCCATTGTCAGAAGGTGAACCAAGCAACTAAATTTTTTTTTTTTTTTAGGTCTTATAATGAGGTCGTTCAGATATAGACGATCCGTCCCTTGCAACAATCTACAAAGCGAGGTGTTTCCTTGCCTGGAGTACTGTCACCCTGTCTGGTCGAGATATGCTCGGGACTATCAGTTGATTGAAAATGTCCAAAGCATGGCCAGCAGACTGGTGCTGGCACTTCGGCACCTCAGCTACCCAGAGATTAGAGCGCCTGCAATTGCCTAGCTTATACTACCGACGGGCAAGGGAATCCTAACTGAGGTTACAGTGGTCTCTCGGTTACGAACTTAGTTCCAGAAGGTCGTTCGTTAACCAAAATTTTTAACCGAAATCATTGTTTCAATGGGATTTTGGGTATTGGTTCCAGTTCACCGAAAATTACACAAACTAAAAAAATGCAGTAAAAGTACACTTACTTTGAGGTGTGCATGTGAAGGCTCTGGTAGATAATGATGATGATGGGAATTAGAAGTGGGGGTGGAGAAGAGAAGAAAGGCAGTGGGGGTGGAAGAGAAATCACCCATGCTTCATGCCGCCATTTCACCCATAAAATTTTAAGTTCACTTGGTGTAATTCAAGATTATTTTCTTTAAATCAACACTGCACTGCATTATATATTGTCAATATGAAAACAAATTTCAATAAGACCAATAATTACTGTATAAAACGTAAAATAGTTTATGTTAGAGAGTCTCAAGCAAGATGCTTCCTCAATGAGCAGAGACACAAACTAACGCCATTCTGGGTGAGTCAAGTGACTGTTTGGTGTGTTAAAAACAGTTCCCTCTTCAATTATTTTAAATAATTGTTAAAAATACTAAAAATTTTAATATAAGACTTGGAAAATTATTGAATAGTACAACCTTCTTGATATTTACTCAAATGGTAACGAATTTAAGCCCTAAAACCTATTACTGTATTGGCGGACTAATACTACAGCTGGTGAGCAAGCGAAAACATGTTGGGAAAAATTCGTAGGACTTCGTTATCCAAATTTTTTGAACTAACGAATTGAATATTCTTATGGAAGGTAATTCGTTAACCGAAATTTCGTTAACAGGCGTTAATTACCAGGATCACTGTATAAGCATCTCAAGGACACTACTCAGTCAAGTGTCCTTACCTGGAGGCTGGCGGGCACGCCCCCCTGGGGTCACAGCTCAAAGTTGAGCACATGAACCAGAAAACTGTGAAGTATCGAGACCTGACTTAGTCAGTACTGGAGCAGGTTCAGATACATTCAGGAGCCAGAGCATGCCCAGTACTTGCTATCAGTGCATTACAGAGACGTGACCGATTGCCCAAGTGGCTACGAGCCAATCAGTGAAGAAGATAAGCCCGTAATATTAAACAACATCTTTCATGAAGAGAGTCGTCGTGTTTCAACCCGAGTTTTAAACTAAATGAGCCCTGAGGGAGACAATGCAATATACTTGAGGTGGTGTGACGGTAAAATAAACAATGTAATTCCAATCAAATTAATTTATAATATTGGATTAGTTAATTTTTACGCCACCACCCATTTAGTACTGTACTGCGGTGTCGAGACTCATTAAAACTCGGAATTTGGCTCTACTTCAAGGAAAATGTTTAATATTCTGAGCATAAAAGTAAGTAAAAAGTATGAAGAAGTCATCAATTTTTATTTTTTCAAACATCAACAAGTTAATGGTTGAGTTGGTATACCATTGAGTATTCACTTTGAATATAAATAAAAGTACATATCTGTAGTCTTAAATAAACTTAGCAAATTGTGATAAATATTCTTAGAACACAAGAATTAAGGAACAGCAGCTGCCCTCCCTGTTTACACTCAATCTTATCACCCATATCGTTTGTGGTCACTACCAGGCCAGGAGGTACCTGAGGTTGGGGCTTTCTAATGTCAGTTGCTGGTCTTGTGCTCATTATTAGGTCCATATCCTGATTATTCATAACATTGAATGCATCTCTTATTTAGAACATATACCTGCGTTACATGTAGCCACTCATTGAAACAGTGGCTTGTGTACTACCTCCTCCCATTGTTTTGGTTATAGTACATATTCAGTTCAACTCTGTATGTTCTGTCATAGACAGGAGTTGTGGTCTGTTACCTAAGTTGTTCAGTAACATATTAACCTTTAACAACCATCACAAGCATTGTTAAGTACAAGACAAGGCAAATGGAAACCAGTGAGAATTATCTGGCTCAAGATATTTATCTTATCACTTTGTCTCATATAATTATTTGTACAGTACATCAACTTTCCTCCATATACAGTGGCCTCTCATTCTCTGCTTTTGTGTTGCTTTATCCGAAGTACATATTTAATGTTACAGACAAAACCTTTTATGAACATGTCACAAAATGTTTGGCACCAAGTGTGATTACAGTACTTCAACTACCATATACAGTACCAGTACTTACCTAATGGTTTTGAAAGTCCTAAATGCTGAACCTACTACTGCAAGATTCCGAGTGTGGCAGAATAGAGATTACCCCATGTTCAGGTCAATGACACCTTACCACTGGAAGTTAGGAGTCAGTTTGGTGGAAATGTTTCTCAAAAGTTTGTTGGTCAGTTCTCCCAACACTGTTTCAGTACAATTAGCATAAATAGCACATAATTGGTCTGCAGACCTCAAGTTTTCTGCCAGGTCTTCAGTAAATGGGGTGCTACAATAATTAATTAATCTCACACTTTTCCTAATTCTTTATAAGAAATCCTTCAGGTAAAATATTAATCTAAATCCTCATTTTCAATCTTGTAAATCATTCCTTGTCATATTGTCGTTTCCTCATCTTTTATGATTTAAAATTGCTTTTATCTAAAACATTATGGTGAATGTATCACAGTTTAGGATGAAATGTAACAAGTGCACAACTGTATAGAATTCTTTAATAAGACATATATCTCTGTATATCTAAAATAACATTGATATTTCAAGTAATAACCAAAAGCTCTTATCAACTAGCCTAAACTTATACTGTTTATATATATTCAAATGAAAAGACAATTTCAAATGGCTACAATATAAAAATGCAAAACATTAAACACACACATTCTAGTGCAAGTCAACATGCAGTCAAAAGTTAAAATGTTAATGTCTAAATCTCTATTGCATTGTTGGCATTGCTTTCATTGCAGTTGCAAAATATTTCATACAATTTTAAATGTTGCATTGAAGGCATTGCTATCAACTTCAGACCCTTGAAGTTTTGGCTAAGGATAATTATTAATACAGTAAAGCTTTGTACATACACACTTACTGCCAACAAAAAACTTGTTTGATTTATACCAAGTTATATCATTCAAACCATTACCAACTTTTAGACTTATAATGCATATTATGTACAGTATTTCCTTGTACAGAGCCTCCAGGCTGACCATTCAATATACTGTGGGTATTGTCAACCCAAATGATCGTTTATACAGGTATAGTGCAATGTAGGGCAAGGTAATATTACTAACATGGATAAAACATACAACCATATGGTAGACTTATCCCAAATTTTATTACAAATAGTGTTACACTTCTCAACTGGCTGACCACTTGTGAGGATAATTAATGTCATACTTTCCACTACTGTACTGTACTGATCAGTCAACTAGACACCCAAATTTTTTTATTTAATTCAGGTGAAAATAAGACAGACAGTTCCTGTATAATGGGATGAGTGGCTTGGAAAGTATGAATTAACTGGACTTGTTAAAAACTTGCATGATATTCACAAGATGCACCAAGAGAGGTAATGATGTCCAGAACAAGCATGTTGTAAGTGGTAAGAAAGGAATATGAGAATAGTTTAAGACAGCTGTGCATGGAGTGTTTACACAGATAGGATTAGGAAAATGAACTTCTACAATTTGCCTTTAGCTGCTGTGCCTGCTTTTGAACTCCTGTAATTTCATAGCCAGGCCCATGTTGCCTTGATCTTAAGTTTACCTTGGAAAAAAAGCCTTTTTGTTTAACTTGCCCTCCATCAGGTTAACGAGGTCTTCGTCCGTCATGGTGATGGTGACGTCTGGTTTTGCTGGTAAACAGAAACACAATATATATATTTAGATTTATCAACACTGTGCTGGTAGTACTTGTACTGTACATATAATCTAGGTACAAAAAGTCCAAAGACCTGTTTATGTCTAATACTCACATTTAAGTAGTAATAAAAGGTAATAATATGTCCAACTAACCTGTGCCATTCAAGGTGACTGATCCTGGTCATTTTTGGCATCAACAAAATCCATTTGGCTTCACTACCACCAGGACCACCCTTAACTTGGAAGCAATAAACCCTTTCACCTGAAAATAATTATAAAATAAGTTTTCACGTCAGATCATTTCATTGTTAGATACCGATTTATTTTCTATTTTTACTCCTCTTCAGATCGAGTGTGATGAAAAAAGTTGGCATTAACTCAATAATGTGAAAGTGGGTGAACAAGTGGTGCAGTGTGTTAATGAGAATGTATGATGATGCAGACCTTACCTTATGCTGTATGTGAAGGAAATCAAGTGGCCTTAGTTAGGCTAGAAATGCTCAAAATGGGAATGCAACCCTGGACTGTGTTGATGAGTTTTGCTACCTGAGTGACAGAATTAGTGCTGGAGGGGTCCAGCGTTACACATTAAAGTCGGAAGCGCTTGGAAAAAGTTTAGAGTTGTTGCCTTTATTGACAATGAGAGAACTTTCTCTCTGCAAATGAGGAAAGTTGTCTACATCATGAGTGGTGTGATGTTGGATGACAGTGAATAAATAAAAATAAGATTGGTGAGGTGGATGTCTAATGTGATGCTGAAAGGTAGAAACCCTGTTCAGAGCAAGGGGCAGCTAGAAGTGAGCATTGGTGAGGCTTTGTGAAGAAGTTTGGCTAAAATTTCATAAAGTCATTCCATTCAGAACTAACCACCTCCTACAACCAAAAAAAAATATTACTGACCTGTATGTTTTACTAACACTATTATAACTTCTTTTACATCAACATTCTCCAAAAATTCTTCTCAAAGCTCTCACAACTATCACTCCTTGTCAATGACCTTTAAAAACCTGCTTACCTCATATGAAATATTTTGTTCCTACTGGGGAGGTGTATATCCATCCTCCTGAGTACTGTGACAGAGTTGATCCTATAGTTATAAGATAAACTTTAGGAATAATTTGATGTTTATTCCAAGCCTCTTCACTCGATCCATCATTCATAATTCTCTCTATTACATAATCACCATCCCTACTCTGTTCTACCCTCTGACATAACTCCTTCTTCACTCATCATCAATACATGAAATGTCTTATACTTGTACACAATTATCTTGCAATATTTCATGTCCTTCACACTCTCATATACAGAGTTTAGACTTGCTCGACAGCTTCTCTAATTTTATATAAATACACCAAAACATATTTCCACCATCTTCAGCAAAGTTCTGCATAGACCTAGGGCACACTATCCACCACATCACATTATTCACCAATGCTATCATGTCAATGTCCACAACACTGATAGTATAAAAGAAAGTGAGCTTACCTTGTTTATAAGTGCAGGTCCATCAGCCTCCAAGGCATCCTGAATGGCATTGAAAATGGCACACTCTTGAACTCTTCTGCAGCTTTTGTAGCTGCTGCGACAATCCTGTTGACAATCTTAAAACCCATAATCACATAATAATCTTCATTTGACTTTAATCTATTTGACAGATATACTGTATACTACAAAATTATCTTATGAATATGACAATTGAGATCTCTGTGCATAAAACAGGGCATGAAAAACCTCATCCAATGTGGTATACTGAACATGGAAACCCGCCAAAACATTTGCATCTACGTGAAGGATTATTTATATTTCAATTTGAATATAGAATTGTCAAGCATCTGGCACAGTACTGTATATCTATGGTGTCAAAGTTATATGCTGAACTGTATACGAAAGCAACAAGTAGCAAGTGGTTAACATAGTACAGACTCATGACATGAGAATACACACAAGGCAAATATCAACTCTGAGATAATAAAATAAACAATTTGAAATAAACAGTTAATCCCGAGCAGGTCAGAATGTTTTATATATTACAGTACAATTATCACACATAAAGATAAAATACTACAGACCCACGGTCATTTCCTCTGAAGCCCATCTTGTACAGAGCTACAACGGCTGCACCACCGAGTCAAGGTTGTGCTGGAGTGCTAACTTTGCCCAGGGACCTGGCGCTTTGCTGCCTCACCAGCAGCTGCCAACACAGCTCAGAGCACTGTGCAAGGCCTGAGGATCAAAAATGCTATCTTACCAAACTACTGTAGTAACAATCTCAATAATCTCACAAAATGGAATAAAATTACTGGTATTGTACTAAGAAAATACAATAAATATAAAGCCCATGCAATACATAAAACTAAAACAAAACACTAACACATATGTACTGTATAATCATACTGTGTATGTATTGTACATTTAAGGAACACAATATTTGGAGTGACTTTAACAAAAACTAATACAAATACTGTATAGTACAATAAAGTCCCAAACAGCAGGACACAACCTACCAGTTCCAGTGCTCACACAAGAAAGACTGACCTCTGTGGAAGTAACCAGATTACGTACTCCACAGATTGCCTGATCTTATCAGTAATAGATAAAGTATCCAAAGTCAGCAGGTACAGTAATGACAACACAACATCTATGGTCATACTCAAGTGTCTGACACATAACACACACAGTACTAGTACTGTTTCACTAATCAGTAAGAACACAAACTGGCATAATAAATGGTTATACTGTACATTTTATTACAAAATGGACAGACTATTACATTTATAAAGATTTACACTTCAACTGTTCTTACATGAGCAGTTTCAGTTATGGACATTAATACTATTATTTTATACCAGTATTGTACTTACTAGAAAGAGCAACTTTTGACATATTTGTAAGGCGATGAATTATTCTTTCATTGTTAAGAATATCCACCCACCCCCAAAAGGGTAACAATGATATGAAATTTTCCTAATATTAGGCAGAACACAGGCATGCATCCCACAGTCGTCCCTTACAAACAATGAACACTTCCAGGCTGTGTTGGTTGGTTTAGTAATTTGGGTATGGAAAGGGTAGGGAAAAAGGCAATAAGTGCAATTCCTCCATTTGATTTGGGTTGATCTCAAGGTCAGAAAAAATTTTTCTTCTATCAAGATTTTTCATTAGGTAGTTTGTTAATCCAGACCCATGTCCTTTAGTGTTAGATGATGGTACCCACATTCATCGAGCTCCACTGGATATTAATTAAAATCTTACCTTGAATTTAAATGGAAAATTCATTACCCGCTTCTTCCGTTTACATCCAACACATCTAGGACCTTTAATACAAAAGGTCTTTATGTATACATCGTAATAATAATTATTCTTGGTTAGGTTAGGTTTATGCAGTGGCCATTATCAACTGTTTTTGTGAGCACTAAAAGACAAATGTTACATAGACATTAACACTTCCGTTCCCTATACTTAACATTTTTGTACAGATAACCATAAATTTTTTAAATTTATATTATACCAATAAATAAGACCTTAAATAAATTGTCATATTAAAAGTATTTGTTCACCAAACACTTGCTAGTAAACAGCTACAGATGATTAAATGTTAATAAGGCAGACAAACCAATGAAACAAAACTACCTAACCTACATATCCTAAAACAGAAGAGCATCATTTTAGGTTATGTAGGCAAGTATGGTCAATTTTATGAATAACATATTACATAATGTAACAGTATCTACTACAGTACAGTTTTCATCAATACAATATTATTTTTTAGTTAATTCTTTTAACAATACCATGTTGTATAAACTGTAACCAGGTTAATTTATTTTACACAAAATAATTACAAAATAAACCATAATAGCTAAGGCTGGCTTAAACCATAATAGCCGAGGATGGCTTAAACCATAATAGCCGAGGCTGGCTTAAACCATACATTTACCGGTTAATATATAGGACTAACCAGCCAGTGCTGCATAGCGCCGCTGCAGCCGTATCATCTCATGTCCAGAAAATGCCTCAATTTCACCATATCATATTAAGTTCTTTCTGTTGGGTCCGACTAATTACCCAAATGTAGCCGCAATGAAGTCAAATAATGGTCCTACATGAATAAATAAGACTGCCAAACACTTCTCGACTAGTATTTGGTGTCACGAAGTCAAAAAAATTTGGAAAACTAAATTTAATCTGAGTTAATAGATCGCATGCATGTACCGAGGGAGCGAGTAATTACCCAAATGTACCCAAATGTAGCCGCAATGAAGTCAAATAATGGTCCTACATGAATAAATCGGACTGCCAAAGACTTCTCGACGAGTATTTGGTGTCACGAAGTCAAAAAAAATTGGTAAAATTAATTTAATCTGAGTTAATAGATCGAGTGCATGTACCTTACCTAACCTAACCTAACACAACTCAGATTAAATTAAGTTTACCAATTTTTTGTGACTTTATGACACCAAATAAGAATCGAGAAGTGATTCACAGCCCGATTTATGCTTGTAGGACCATCATTTGACTTCATTGCGACTACATTTGGGTACATTTGGGTAATTAGTTGGACCGCTTTCTGTTTAATATATCGAGGAAGTTAGGTCAGGTTAGGTAGATTTGTTTGGTATGATTTGTTCTTCCTACCCACAAATGTTAAGTAGCGTTTATTTAAAAAATATCAATTTTTTAACATATTTCCACAAACTACAAGTGTCCACTATACTATAACGATAAACAACCGGCGTTTTTATAATTGTTTTCAATCAATTTCGCTCGTGGATTAGTCCTATATAATAACCCATTTACCTGAACAAGTATAACATGGAACAATAAGAGGAAAAAGGTTCATATATTGTTCGTAACATTTTATCAATACATCACATGAACTTGGTACAGTACAGACAGTTCACCCCCAGATCATACCATTCACACAACACTGGACTCTGATTACCTGCGATAACCTGATCACCAGATACTACTGTACCTGATTAACACTACCTCAGTCTTCTTCTCAGGAGATGTTACAGCTCAACTCTAAAACATTCGTGAGTTGTTACCGACCGACGGTTCTACACCAACTGATGTCCAAGTAAATATTGCGCACCAGCAGGTTTGCCAACTTGGAGTTTCAAATGTCGCTAGGCTGGTACCTAAAAGTTGCTAAATGTCGCTAAATCTTCCATGGAAAGTCGCTAGCTATTATTCCCTCCCTTCAGTAATTTGATGCAAATAATATTTTCATAATGACGACTATAATGGACGGAGTATAAATAAAATGCATTATGTAAAAATAAAAATATTATTTTTTTTAAAGTTTAATGTGCACACTTACCTATTATTCAATAGTAATTGCATCCCAGTCCTCTTGGTAGTGTGAACAACTGTAGAGCTGGAAGCATGTGAAGTGCTTGGTTCAGGTTCTCTTGTAACTGTATGCCTCCACAGTCCCTATCTTTCTTAAAATATCACTAGGAAGTTCATAACTTGCACAACAGGTGTTCTGTCTTTTTAACCCATACTTTATTGTAAGAATTGCCTTTAATGTCGATAGTTTCATTTTGTTGCGCAATTTTGATTTCACAAAGTTCATATTACTAAATGTGCGCTCTACATCTGCGTTTGAATGCGGAAGAGATAAGGCAGCGAGTGCAATTTCAGCCAGATCATGGTAAGGGTTTTCACCTGTCGCATCTCTGTAATTTGCCACTTCTGACCACAATTTTAGGGTGTTAGATGTTTCTGTCCAGATTGTGTGATGCAGTTTTTTTCCACTAAATCAATCTTGGTAAGGGTGCTGGAATCTTCTGTAAATAAGTGTGCCAAACCAAGTATATCTGATTTAATAGGCTTCAAGCATTCATCGGCACTCAGAAAAGATATAGACTGCAGCACACGATATTTGTCAGGTAGCGTTGACGAAGTTGTTTTATGAGTTCAACCCGTTCAAATGTATTTTTTTTTTTTTTTTTTTATCCTCTTCGCCACTGATCGGC